GTGAGTGATCTAAAATATATATAAAAATAAATGAAAAAAACATTTCGTAGATGATTTAAGCCTCAGTAACGCAAGTTTCAATATTAACAACGTTTAACGCCTTATCAAAACCTATAAAAGCACACCGCTTTAATTTTTCCGAAGAATAGTAATAGACCAGGGCAGATCTGTTTTGAGGTGGATGTGAGAGGGGGCAAGCAATTTTTTTCTGCGTTAACTTCAGTACAAGTCACATAATAAAAATGTAGATCCCTAGATCTGGGAGAGGTCCGGAACATTTTGAAAATTACAAAAATGTTTAAAAAATTTTTAAAAATACCTATTTTATTTGAGTTTTTTACTTATATCTTGGAATCTATGCATTTTCGAAGAATACTGAAGAGGAAAAAAGTTTTAGAATTGAATTTTGCACAATATACTGTAAGTTAAAAATGTATTCCATTGGCGTATTCCATTTGATAAGTTGACCTTAATTTGACCTTGCACCCTGTGTTGAAGGTCAAATTCAAGATCACCATCTAATTTATCAAAGTCAAAATTTTGCTCGAAACAAATTTAGCAAGTTATTCAAAGTAAAATGTTTGACCTCCAAAAAACCTTCAAGGACATACGGAAAAAAGTTTGACTATGTGTGATACTATGACAAAAGAAGTATACGAATGGAAAAAATGGCACGTGTTTCTAAAGGTCAAAGGTGTCCTCCACATAAATATAACACTTATTCCATGTTGTACCCTGTACGACATTTTATACAAAATTCTAGCGAAACCTTGTTTTAGAATAATCCATTTTAAGAATGCTTTGACAGAATAGACCTGGAAGCTTTCCCGGTGAAATAGTCAAGATCTCCATCTGCAAATTAAACGGGTTTCATTGTGGCGAGTACGTTGGACCAAAATTTATCGACGACAATTCTACAAAATGGACTTCTTTCGGTCCCGTTCGTTCCCCACAACAGTGCAGTTAGTTGACTATTTGTCATCTCGCACTAAACCGCATAAAATATCGAATCGCCGCGGTCGGCAATTGTCCCCCGACTGTCTTTTTTTTTACGGCGGCATGCAAACACCCCGGATTTTACCGCTGATAATGTACCCCATTAGTTGGCACGCAGTTGTCGTTAAAGACAAATCCGTAGTTAATTGAACAGATCTTCCTTCGCTATCTTTGGTAAGTCTTTTTTTGCTTCTTTCCGCTGCGTTAACGGTAATGTCGCCCTACTCAATTTCCATGTCTTAAGTCTGCTATTATTGGAGGCCACTGTAACGACTGCCCCCGCAACCCCGACCTAAATCGGAGACGTGCAGCGTAACAGATTTGACAGGAATTAGCCGGGAGTTAAACAGGCATTTTTATTTTATAATTCTCATCGGTACATTTACATGAAATATCTAAAAGGTCATAATTTTGTGCAAAAACAATGTATGAAATTTTTCAATTAAAAGGGAGCCACTTGAACATGTATAAAAACGCCTAGCAATGCAATTTAATGAGTTAAAAATAATAAAAGATAAAAATTATTATAATTTGTATATAATGTGTAAATATATGTTCATTTGACCAACTACATATTTTAATTATTTATGTCCTCAAACAATTTTATTATATTGATGGTAAATTTCGTTTTGTTCCGTGTCAAAAAGTCTCCAAAATGCCATGTTGTAATAATATTAGTAAACAAAATATCGCTCTTATTTTCTCCCTTTCGCAATTGTAATATGAACGATTAATAGAAGGTGCCTATAATAAATTAAAACTACCTGAATCACACCAAATTCCAAATTGCTGCACTGCACTGCTAGGCCACACGCAAAAAAAATCTTGCTTCAAATCTACAACATTTGATTTTAAGGTATCGCACGTTTATATAATATTAATAAATATGTTAAATAGTAACGATCCCAGTATTGAGCCCTGTGGTATGCCCGATAGGCCATACACGTTCTTTAATTTACATCCTCTATGTGCATGCAACTTTTATTATGCTTCTGTCTTCGAGAAAATTAATTAAGAAAATGAACCACAAATGCAATCCTATCCTGTGCATCTTGTGCACGTGTGTTGGGTGTTGCAGTATTACTCGCGATATTATTCTATTCTCAATTTTATGATCTACATAGATTTTATAGAAACATGTTTTATATTGTATAATAATGTATCATTTGTTTAATTTTAATACAAAATTGAATAGTTTTGGTCACCTGATTGTATATACTTATTTTAAGAATATATTTGGATATAAATATTTCTCGGTAATGAAAAATATTTTGTTTCAAAGTTAAACAGCTAGGATCGTTCGTAAGTTTAACCAACCAGACATAGGCCGGTTTGGGATTTATTGATTCATCACTATGCAGTTGGATCTAGCTGCTTTAGTGTCGTTACTTACAAGGAGATATACACAGAGCGTAAGTGGCTCCATCTATCGTGCTACTTTCCACCTACGCCATTCTGTGACCTGCTACAATTTTCTTTCAAGAAAACATAAGTTTGATTATAATATGCTACATTTGTCTTCAATAATTCCAACATTAATACTAAATTTTAAATATATGTATTTTAAGGAGCTGGTAGTTTTGAAACAAATACGTTTGCAGTTTATGATGAACTGTAAGAGATATTGTAGCTAAAGTCCGAGGTAATAAATTTCAAAACTATCATGTATATTATTATGTATAGGTATATCATGTATATCATGTATATATTTACAAATAATATAAATTTTAAGAAAAATTTTATACAGCAAATATTTAACATACTTTGACGAAAGGATATACATTTGAATAGAATAAATTAATATTTACGGCAAATAATTCCATTTAAAACTATCTGCTCATTTGATCCAAACACATTTTTTTTCTGTGCATTTGTCGACAACTGAATTTATGGCCAGGTCGCCCAGTGCGGCTGTGTTTGTGCCGCGTTTGCCCGCGCGCTCAGTCGTCAACTGGGCGACCAGACCTGTATACGGGTATGGTTAAATAAATATGGGAGCAAGTTTTTCAAACATATCAATGCTGAGTTGCTGCGTTAGCGACCGAACCTGGTATATATTGCCAATCTCTTGGTTCTTCAATTGAGATCGGAGAGGCTATACATACCGGGTGTTCAAAAAGTTTGGAACCCTCCCTTTATCTCAGAAAATACTGGTCAAGCAAAAAAATGATTAGGACAAAAGTTGCAGGGTTTTGAGTGAGCAATCCAACGGTGACCTTGACCACGACCTTTACCATGACTTTGAAGGTCATTTAGAGTCGTTGAAAACAAATTCCGATTTTCTGCACATTAACTAACTACACTGTACGTTTTCTGACATAAATTTACAAAATATGCCATTAAAACACAAACAAGAAAGACAGGAAAACTTACGTCATTTAATGATATCTATCTATATATTTAAAATATAACTTCTGCTCTAAACAAATAAGCGTATTTATTTATTTTTATTTTTTCATAAAATTATACGAGAAACCGGAGACCTGGGAAAGAACTTTAACTTTTCTTAACCTTAATAGCCGAAAGCGTCGCGTCTTTTTGAGGGAGATAAGAAAACACTATTTAAAAACAGACAATCTGACTTCATTTCATGTAAAGTAATTGTTATTTTTATCTTCCCCCTGACGGTCGTAAATTATTTTTTCCACATCCAAATTTCATTTTTTGCACCACCCAAATACTATTACGTTATCAGATAACATCGAAACTTTTGACATTTTAATATTTTACGTTACCCAAACGAAATTTAAATGCAACGGGTAAAAAAAGTGCTCCAAAAAATATTCTCCCCAAAACAGTCTGTAGTTTGTTATTTTAAAAGGAAATATTTCGAAGGCGAGCGTTTTGCGTACTTTTGTTGATAGAGAGAAGCTTCAATCGTACCCCAAGTAACCCCTGATTAGAAAATGATCGTTTACCTTGCAATTAAGCAGCTTGCTGTCCTAGATCGCAGACAACATTGTGTATATATTATCTTATGACAATTTGACCGCATGGAATCCCGAATTAACTAATTGTATCCTCAATGCAACAACAGGCATCAACAAAATTAATGTCACATGTTCAGCGAACGGTTTCAATAACGCCGAAACTCTGTTCGACAAAAGGAACAAAGAGAAAACATGTCTTTTTATGGTTATATTATTAACAAATAATTCAATATCAGTTAGATTTGATTAAGAATCTCTTTAATAACAATTAACTTGAATTTCTACATTGTAACTTAATTAAATAATGCCTGAAGGTTGCTAAGGAAAAAATAAATATAACATGTATATTTACATATCGTAAATCACTGAAATACATATTTACTTTTTATACAAATATCACACAACTTCTAAAAGATTGGGATCTACTGCCTCATATCTAAGCAAAATGTGTGATTAGTATTGTACAAAAAATAAAAATAAATTGTATCATTTTTGCAGAATCCAAGTTCTCCATGTGACTGTAAGGGTTTGCTTTTATTTGAAATCAGCACCAACTTTAAAATGGCACATACACCACCATTATTACCGTATTTTTATAATTTATAGAGGTAAGGAAAGCTATTATTCATTCGAGTCGTGTGGAGTGTGATAAAATGTACAACCCTTCATCACACCGGTACGAAATTATTGTACGCGTATTTTGCATAAGTGACAACGTTTGTAGTTTTATTTTATGACTGTTCCGCGGTGTATTTCTCGTATAGCCGCATGGTAAAAATTTTGAATTAATAGTTTATTTACCCTGATATTTCCCTGGACTTTAAAATGTGGATTGCACGTGATAAATTCCGATAAAGTACGTTTCTCTGCAACCGCTATATTTTGTAATTCCCTACAGAATTATGATTGCTTCGTAAGATAGAATAATGCACTGTTAAAAGCGATTTTCCTCAACCGGGGGGAAATTGCGATTTAAATAACGCCGTGGTTATCTACCAATAGTTTCGCTTCACAATAAAATCGCACGGATAATTCCAATACTAATTGAAAATAGTGTTTTGTACATGTACTCACCGTCGGCAAATCTCAATCTCAACCATATCCAGTGCAATGAAGGTCCAAGTTCTGCAAAGGAAATAAAACGATAACTTTTTAGTTTTCCAGAAATACTTAGTGAATATTTTTAAACAATCTGTACAGAAAAGTAATTCAATAGGTATTAAACTTTTAAAACGTGGCACAACTATGAATTTGACCATAGAATTTGTAACGCTTAAATAAACCAATCCACTGAATAATAAATATACTTCGAAAAAGCTTTCTATTATTTGCAAATTAAATAAACCAACCGTATTTTTTCCGTAAAATTAAAATATATGCAGGCTAAAATCTGGCAGGTGTAACAAACATCAAAAAGGGCATCTACAAATTATTTTTCAATCAACGTATTGACGTGAATAGTTCGTAAACACGATGTTGATACTAATATTTTCACATCAACGAATCTTTAATTAGTTCTATGGTATAAAGCGGTTAGTTTCTGAAAAACATCAGCAATGCTAATTATCCCCGTTTAATTTACAAAGCGTCAGAATAACATATTTGTTGTAGACTTTCATCCAACATATCACTATGAATTCACAATAATTGAAAGCTGCTCATTATTTCCTGTTATGTAGTGTTTATCTATATAATTGTTTATTTAAAAAAAAACGTTGTACATAATTCAAAATGGATATAATTAAATAACAAAACGTTACAATAAGCGATCAAAGAGATGTCAGAGATACATACAGGCCACTAGAAAGTGAACGAGCATCGCGAGCCTTCTCTGAATCGCCACCCATCCAATGTCAAAGTGAAGCTCACTGTTTTTTTCGACTTTAATGGAATTGTACATTTTGAATTCTTCAAGGTGAAACAGTGAAGGTTTTTTACAATGGTTACGTGAAAAAATCAGCAAAAATACACCAGAGTTATGGCGAGACAACTCGTGGTTCTTGCGCCATGACACTCAGCATTGTCAATTCGTCAGTTTTATACCAAAAAACAGATTACTGTCCTCCCGCACCCTCTTTACTCGCCAGACTTGACTCAGCATAAACTAATTGTGTTAAGTGACTCCATAGATAAAAGTCTGCCATCTCCCATTGAAATTATTATTGAGCCACTCCACCACATTTCTTCCACTGGTGGTGTACCATTTACTCAATGACAAGCTGTCAAATAATAAACAACCTTTTATTTTCATAGCTGCCTTGTTTTACATTTTTTAAAATATCTCCTAAATAAAGCCCGATATGAAATAAAGTTATTCTTTATTTCATGTTTAAAATTCGATTTTACATATGCCATTTCATTTTGGCTGTCCAGTTACGAAACACCCGGTATATATACAACGTGGTAAAAAAGTTCTGCATAAAATTCATATTTTCGTTAAACAATTTTTTTTTCGAAAAACGGTGAGACCCGTCGATTTTTATTTGATCCAGGGCACCTTGTTATGTGGAAAAAATTTTTTTTTCGATAATCCACTTACGGCAGCGATGACATAATTTTTTTTTTAAATGACAACGCATATTTTTTTCGTTCGAAATTGACGACAGTAATAATTATCTAAACAACGGTGTGAAAATTTCGATGTCTTACATAACAATTTTTTTTAGAAAGATGCACCTTAAGTTCTTATGAGATAATTGTCTACTTACACTATTAATGGCTCCGAAAAGGACAAAGTTGACAAAATTACATTTCAAACGAGTAAAATAGACGGCGTTTACACACGCTTAGGACAATGCCAAATGGTACAGGGTGGGCAATTCGAACAATTTCGCTAGACTTACACAAACATTAGTGTAACATGTGTTACATTTAACACCCTGTATCTCTTTAATTATCAACTTTTGGACTAAGGTAAGTTCGGCTAAATCGCAATATTTTTACTCGGGGAATCTACCCAGGAATTTTGGCCCATTACCTCGGGACCACCCTGTATATATATTTATTTTGTTTATTATTATTATTACGTAAGTCTGATGTAAGTTATATGCCTATTATGGTTTGCGGTTTGCTGTTATCACGATTGATTTTTATTGGCTGACTTAAATTTGACCAATAAATTGGCCAATTTATTGTAATGTGTAAAAAGTTGCTAGAATATAGGGATCTGGTATTATTTTATATACAAAATAATAACGTCGTAGGAGAAGAAAATTCGAGGAAAAATACACCCATAAACCCAATAATTACTCAATTTTTTACCGTCGGATCACGACACTCAATCCAATATCCAATTTCATTCCGGGCACCGAGCTTTAGTGAAACAATGGTATCAGGAGTTACATTTTTTTTTTCGTTCCCATATCCGACAAGAGAAAAAATCTCTTAACATTATTCTGACTTGGAAAGTGTTACACTTTTGTATCCGGGAGGCGCTTTAGGGTAAAACCAACAGAGGAAAGAACAGAATATTAAACAGAGTCTGGAATATTATAAAACTTAGCTGATACATGTCGTGTTTACGAGTTTAAACAGCGATAATTTTATTACAGAGGGGAAGTGTGCGATAAAAGGCAATTTTCGGGTGTTTCTAGGGCCCTATATTTATTTACACCCCGATATTATCGTTCCGAGCACCTTCATAGCGGTTTCTTACGTATCGATCAAAATGCGATCAACTCCCTCCTACCGCAAATGGATTTATAATAATAAAATTTCCATTAGTCTTCGGAACATCCCGTATAACTTCAGTTGTGCTCAGACTCGTAATGTTTTACATCTCTGGCATTTCAAACTGCAAAGGTTGTTTTTAGAATATAATTAAGCGCTTATTAAGTGGAGCACCAGTACGGATAAATTGTAAAAAATTACAAGTAATATGTCATTGAAAAATTAGAGAAAATTACATGATGCACAGCATGCAACTCATGCAAAAATTGTCACGTGAAATTGTAAACACATATATTAAAAAATAAATTTATTACTTCCTCTGTGCATTAGCGGAAAATGCACTTTTAAAAACTACCTAACTTTTTAAATTTTCACTGAATACCTTAGGATATTAGATTTTTACGAAAATATTTTTTTCCTTCATTTCCGTCACAGTAAAAGATATAGTCTTGCCGATCTCAATTGAAGAATCAAAAGGTATGTACCAGGTTCGGTCGCTGACGCAGCAACTCGGCATTGAAATATTTGAAAAACTTGTTCCCATTTTTATTTAGCCATACCCATATACAGGTCTGGTCGCCCAGTTGAAGAATGAGCGCGCGATCAAACGCGGCACAAACACAGCCGCACTGGGCAACCTGGTCATAAATCCAGTTGTCGACAATTGGCCTAGCAGTGCAGTGCACCAATGTGGAATTTGGGATTCAGGTACTTTTAATTTATTATAGGCACGTTTTATTAATGATTCATATTACAATTGGAGACCTTTTGAAACGGAACAGAACGAAATTTACCACCAATATAATAAAATTGTTTGAGGTCATAAATAATTAAAATATGTTGTTGGTCAAATGAACATATAATAGAAATTTCCTACACATTATACACAAATTATTATAATTTTACCTTTAGCAGAAAACTTTTTTAGGGAGGCCTATGAAACCCATTAAATTTTATTGCTAGACGTTTTTATACATGTTCAACTGACTTCGGAAAGACTATACCTTTGATGATTATTCCTTTTTCAGTTTTACGCTTTCACATTTAATTACTGCAAAATATGGTATTGTCTAAAATTATTTGCATAGTTTTCGTTTTTTTCTTTATTTATTTGGTATTTTGCCATTTTCATTGTTTTCAAGGTTCAAATACGTAAATACAAATTGATGTTTACACTTTTTTCTTATCACCGAGAGTTGGTCTGATATTAAAGTAAACTTTTCGGGGAAATTTTAGGAGACAATTTTTATCTGCTTGCTATAACAAAATTCAAATATAATTACTGTTTACAAAAATGTCCGTCACCTCAGGTCATGGATTATTTCTCTCAGTATACACATATTTATACAGCCTAACTATTGTTTTCCTGGACAACTTTATAATTATGTTTTTTTATATACGATAAGGCAAAATTAAGTCCAGATACAGCTGCAAACGCGTGCTCTTTTCCATTTTGCTCGGGGACCCAGCAGAACAGTGATCATCTAACGTGCAGTAAAATGTAGTTCATAAAAAAAATGTTATTAAACCTACGACCACTTTAACCGCGATAATTATTCTGTTTGGTTTATCGTGAGTGTGAAGGTGTCATTTTCTTTTTGAACCGGGAGTTATTGTTGCAATTTGAAAAATTAGGTGAGTATTTGAAAATTGAAAACAAGAATTTTTAATTAATTCTTGTTCATTTTTTTTTACAAATCACTCGAAATTAACCCCCTTTTCGGCATAAATTTTTGTCACTAATCGAAACCTGTTTCTTGCTTTCAAAAATAAAAACGAATACGTAAGCGGAGTCTGACTTTTTACACGGAAACGAAGACGCTTGTTAACATATGTATGTTTCTAAGGGGATTATAAATGTGGGGCCAGCCCTCGGGTCAAACGCATTTTCACTTTCTGCGAAAAGGGGGAATTTATCTAATAGGTGCCCTAAATGTCGGGTTCGAGCTATTGTGAATATCGACAACTAGTGATATCGCACCGTGTCAACAGATAACTTTGAATCGAAACAACTGTGATCTACTGTATCGCCAGAGGGCATCTGTTCATCCCCTATAATTTATGTTATTCTAAGCGTGCCGTTTGGCGCAGCAGTGGTACGTTATTCTTTTATTTCTTTGGTATAGAATATAAATACTGCAACCATCCAATGAATTTTCTTCATTTCTAAAACTTCTTCAACATAATATCAAAACGGTATGTACTAAAATCAATCTGTTTCGTGATTAGTTGTTTATCGATAAATAAAAATCTAAAAGTAAGGCTTCGGATAAGTTGCTGTATGTCGTTCAAGCAATGGGCAGCATTCTCGTAGAAGTTTTTGTAATGACTATAAATAAAATATATCCTGGTATTTTCCTTCCAGAACACGAAGTCCAGGAATATAAAAGTACTCGAGATTGTCTCATGAAATTCAAATCTTAACTAAATATTCATGGTTAATATTTTACGATTTAGCCGTAATACGAAAAACCAATTTATTATAAATGAAATATGATAGCAAAAGACCCCATGGAGATAAAAAGTGTCACATTTCAAAACCTGGGAAACAAATATTTTTACTTGCACTTTCGGTAAACCAAAACAAGGGAGGAACGCTGCAAGATATTCTCAACTAACAAACATTTAATTACAATTTAATTATTTCAGTTTAAAAATTATGAAGTAGGAACACATTTTTAAATTATTTCAGGGGCAGTAAAAATGACCGATGAAATAATTGACATAGATAGCATGCTGCAGCATGTTGGGAATTTTAATCGTTTTCAATTAATTTTGATGCTTTTATTCAGTGCAATAAATGCACTTTCTGCCTTCCATTATTTCGGACAAACCTTTATAAGCGTGGTACCAGAATTTCAGTGTGACACTAGGAACTATGAGAATATTTCTGCCACCGGTACTTGTGACGTAGAAATTTTAGAAAATGATACCTACGTTAATATGGAGTGTACTACAGGATGGATCTTTAGCAGAAATATCACTTATGGATTTATAGGCATCATTGAAGAGGTATGGACAATAAGGTTTGACCTTTAACTTTACAAAAAATATATACAGGTTCGGAAAGTCCCCATAGTACATCGGCCGTTACGTGAGAGCGATAAGGTAAGTCATAGAAATCCGTGCGATAGACAAGGATGGTTACATTGAAGACGTTTCATAATCTGAATAGTTCTAACCCGAAACGAGCGGTGACTATTCAGATTATGAAACGTCTTCACTATAGTCATCCTTGTCTATCGCACGAATTTCTTTACTTTACTTTGTCGCTCTCATGTAAAGGCAGATGAACCATGTGGATTTTCCAGCCCTGTATATTGGTCAGCACCTATTCTATTAGAATTTCGAGAGAGTTGTTCTTTTATCAGTTAATAAAAACCTACTCCTAATTTATAATGTAGGATTCTATTAGGAAATTAAACTGTTTATTCCTGAAATCTACCCAAAAACTAAATTGTCAGTTGAATCGATTTAATACTGCGCCTATGTCGCCATCTATCGGCAAACATAAGAAATTTTATGCAATGTGATTTAAAACACTGTAAGGCTACTGTAATTTTAAATTCCAAAATTAAATGTACAGGATGATTGTCTTTTACTTATTTATTTTATATAAAATTAACATACAAGGTGTTGCGGAAGTGAGTGCAACATACAAAAAATAATATCATTTTTTCCTTTAAGCCCTGGACCTATCGTCTTTTCTTTTTGAGATATAGGGCGTCAAAGATTATTTAGAATCACATTTCACTGAAACTACCTCTCCCAGTGACATTTTATGACCTAACCTTTTAAGGTTAGGTTTTTACAGTGTACGTTTTATATTAGAACGTAAAATTTTATTTTACACAAAAAGGTACTATTGTTAGACTCAACAAAAGCTTATCGGTTTTTTGAGAAAGACACAATTGACTGCCCCAAAATCAACCAGCTTCTCTTCCTGGTGTCTGGTAGTTTCCTTGAATTAAAATAAACCGAAATATGTAGATCAAGTTATCTTGTTATATTGCTTTCTTAAAAAGTTGCAAGCTTTCAAAAATGAAATAATGTCATAGTCATAAAATTTTGCTGAAAGATATAGTAACTAGCGCCCTCTAGCAAATAGCCAAAAACTAACAACACTGACGTATTAAGTACGCTCAAAAACTTACCTGTACTAAATTTCAATGAAATTTTTGGAAAAAATTGTTATTTTTTTTACTCTCATTTTCACAAATTTTTAGGTCTATTTAGTTGTAGCACCATATCGGTAATGCTTGCAATGTTTGTTTATATTTCATTATGCGTTATTTATTTGAATATTATTTTTTTTAATTTTTTAAGTTAAATTGGGTATGTGACGACAATTGGAAACCAGCCTTGGGTCAATCAGTATTTTTTATAGGCTCTGTTGTTGGGAGTCTAACATTAGGTGTTCTAGCAGATTTTATAGGCCGACTTCACGTTTTAGTCATAGCGAACATACTGGCATTTTTTGGAAACATAACGACGATCCTATCAAATGATGTAACAGTGTTTGCCATCAGTAGATTTGTGGCTGGTTGCGCCACTGATTCAAACTTTGTAATGATGTACATTATTGGTAGGTACAAAAGGAAAACCAGTACGTAAAACTGTAGTAAGTAAATATATTTTTTTAGTAATGGAATATATCAAACCAAGTATGAGAACGTTAGGCCTGAATTTATGTATAGGCTTATTCTATTGTCTTTCCTGTATGGCAGTACCTTGGGTAGCAGTGCTACTAGGCAATTGGAGGATGTTCCTAATTTTCATCTCGGTACCACACTTACTCGTGTTAGGATTCTATTATCTGGTGCCTGAGAGTGCCCAATGGCTTATAAGCAAAGGCAGAACAGAAGAAGCTATTCAATGTTTTAGGAGAATTGCTACAATAAACAAAAAAACTGTATGTGAAAAGACTGTTGATTCGTTAAGAAGATTTTGTTCGATGCATGTTTCTTCTAAACAAACAAATGAGAGTTTTTTTGGGCTTCTAAAAACGCCCAAATTAAGGAGAAAGACGATTATACTCGTATTTAAATCGTAAGTTTCTAATCTATTTTCCCGATTTTTTTAGGACAATAATTTTATTTTAGTATGGTGATGACCTTGTGCTATGACGCTATATCCAGAAACGTCAATGGTTTAGGATATTCCGCATTCATAATATTCACTACCACATCATCAACAATCCTTCCAGCTTGTTTGTTCATATTAGCAGTGCAAGACAAGGCGGGGAGAAAGGCGTTGGCGAGTGGATCTCTCTTGCTAAGCGGAATTTTCACAGCTTGTTCAGGAGTAATACAAGCCTTTATGCAGAATCCCGAACCTACTCTGATCGTTACTTTGGCAGTCATCGCTAGGCTAGGCATCAACGTGGCTTACAATTCAGGTTAAAGAAGCCTAAGAACGAGTTTAAAAAAAAAGGTCTAAATTTTTTATTCTAGGTGCGCAATACGCTGTGGAACTGATCCCCACAGTTGTACGAGGACAAGGAGTGTCTGCCATCCACGTAGCAGGCTATGCAGCTAGTTTTTTCAGTCCACAGATCCTCTACCTAGCCAATATTTGGAAACCATACCCGGAAGTCATCTTAGGAGTTCTACTCGTTTTAGGAGCAATAGCTTGTTTGTTCCTGCCCGAAACTTTAAATCGAACCCTACCCGTGACATTGAAGGACGGCGAGGAGTTTGGCGAGGGGGAGGGAATTTTCGAATTTGCTTGTTGTAGGGCTCCTACGGAAAGTATGACAGCACTCAACCCTAGCCAGACAACTTAAGTATTCATTTTCGTATTGTTACCGTTGCCAGTATCTAGTTTTTAATAAAAATTAACTCGCCATAAGTATTTAATTTCATCACCTTTCCTTTATTACACCAATGTTTACTGCACCTACCTATCATGTCATATATCAAAACTGTTCAGTTCACACAAAAAGGAACAACGTTATACGGAGAAGAGCCACTGTTAAAAAAATGTATTCTATGAACTTTGTGTTACAATCTGTCCTTTGCCAATTTTTGGACATGAAAATTCAAAACATTTAGAGACGTAAATTGTTAATTATGTACATAGTAAAGATTTACAAATGCAACTGTGTACATGGATTATAGACTGAGTCAATGTTGTTTATGAAATAAATTATAGATAAACATTATATAAACAATAGGTCAGTGTTTTTGTAGTAGTACAAGTTAAAGCTTGCTTAGCTAATCATACGATTAGACTATAAACGTGTAGGAATAATTTCGTACCGGTATCAAAAAAACTAGACCAAGGTGTCAAACTGATTATTTAATGGTTGGTTTATAAAAAAGTATTAGTCCTAACTTAGCCGTAACAACCTTAATCTTAGTCTTAAAAATTTAAATGTACAAAATGTAATGTATAGAACTAGGGCAAGGTTAAAATTTTTATAAACCAATACTTTACATTCTGTACATTTAACTTTTTAGGACTAAGATTAAGGTTAAGTTAAGGCTAAGTTAGGACTAATACTTTTTTATAAACCAACCATAAAACAACTGAATATTTTTCACGTACCTTTTATATTCTCTATGTAGGTAGGTAGGTAAGCTTCCAAAATTGATGTTCAGAAACACATTTAGCTGAATTAAGCACTTAACAACATATTCACTGTTAAAAACCCGCACTGTAATAGCAGTGATATTTAAAAACTATTGTAATTGACGAACAAAAAACAAAAACTCGGCGATACATAAGCCACTGAATGGCAGAACTGCACTGACAAAACAAAATGCAAACGCAAGCATGCCTGTTCAGTTTTTTCAAGATTTTTTGCGAGACCTGATTAACTGGATATATTACCAGGGTTGTACTTACTCACAGGACTTGGACTTGTAATGATAATTAAAGTAGGATTTTTAACGTGAATACTATTTGTCACGTTAAAATTTGAACAAAACGATTTAAAAGATTAATGGATAAGATTACAGGGAATACTTTATTTCTACATCTAGCACCCTTTGCTTTAATAAAAAATAAAAATGGTTATCAAAAAATTGTTTTCGCATATTATGTTCTTATTTTTTTACCTATGTAAGCAAGCAGATGTTAAAACGTTGTATTTATCAATCTCTATTATTAAACCCAATTGATTAATTTATTCTACGACACTGAATAAAGAAAGGCTCCGTACCTCGAGCTTGTTTGAATTGTAGAATAGTAAAAGTAGGTATTTCTCAAAAATCATGGCTTTATTATTATCAAAGTGGTTTCAGCTCTTCGCAGAATTTCTTGAAGAAGGATGACCAAACTGTGAGAAATACATGAAATTCAAATACAGTTTGGAAAGAGTAGTACATTGTACCACCATTACTTTTCGAGAGTACGTTTGATGCTTCGATTATAATAATTGTTTTAGTACTAAATATATGAATTTTCCAGCCTATATTTTTTACCTGAAGATTATAGTAAATGGCCAACTCGTTTAAAGCCTGTGGGTATGTATTCCGTAAATACATACCTATATATCTCCCCCAAACGTCATACTCCCAAAAACCTTCCTCGGCATACCTAATTTAATAAAACCTCTTCAGTTATCGTTGATGAATTAAACATTTTAGGATTTTATGGAATGAGGGCCAGATAAACTGTTAGCCCTCAAGATAAAAGTTACGATTATTTAACACACTAATAATTTCCCTGTATTTTAGAAAATTTTGCTTTTGGATTGTATGTGTACCGTGTCTGGGATTATTCCCTATAGGTTTATGTATGAATTGCAGTCGGAGGAAAAATATGGTGAGAGCGGAGAATATTGTCTATAATTAACTTTATTCTTTAGATTAAAAATGTAGTTTTCATACTTGTAACTTTTTTTAAAAAATATATTGTATACCTTTGTATAGTTTCATTTTTCTCAAAACAAATTTAGCCTTTTTAAAAATTACTACAATACTATTGCTGCAAAAATTGATATAACTGAAATGTTCATATCTTTTTTCAAGATTCTTAGCTCAGGTTTCGTTTCCACTCAGGAAACACATACTTTAAGATTAAATAAACAAATAAGAAAGCTTTCACAAAACACTTTTTTTTATTGTAAAATTACAGTGACTTCGTCATTTGTAAACTCATACAAAGTGTGAACCCAATAATGGGATTGTTCTGGTTGACTGTAGGTTCCAAGTGAGCAGGGCCGTCTTTACATGGTATGAGGCCCTAGGCCCAAGTATCGCTGGAGCCCCAGTAAATGTAGAAAAAAAAAACAATCAAACCTTTCGAATATCAGAAGCTGAAGTCTTATATGCGTAACCCTATCGTTGTAATTCGCTTTTAATAGAAGCTTAGGTCATAATAACTTAATAAGCACATAAGCAACTATTTCAAATGGCACCAGACAAACTTTATTTAAAAATAACCCTACACCGTTTATGAAATTATTTTACATAGGATAGTATACAAGCTGTTACAAATTCGCTTCTCACTACAGGGGTCTCAGAAACGGTAAGAGATACGAAGTAACTTAAATGAGGGCAAAGTTGCATAATCAGGGGACCAACATTATGCCTCTAAAAAATCAAGGCTAACATGATTAGTTTTCGAAATATTTGAAAAAAACCGAAATTTTGGAAATCCGGTTTTGTTTAAAATCGAGGTGATATTGAAAAAAGAAGAACACTTTCTTATGGCCACTTTTTCTCCTCTATCGAATGGCATATTCAATTTTTATTTTTATATGTAACGTTTCGTCTCTCCAGGACCATCCTCAACTTCATTTTTTTAAATACGACCCTAGAAATTTTGTTACATTTTTTGCAAGCCATCATGACCCCCAATAAATGTACTGCCTCAGCACTAACCAAATTCAAACGTTTCGTCTCGAAAAATTCGTCTTCAATGTATTCGTTCCAAATTTATCTATTTTTTTTAGATTTCTATATTTCTTGAATTATCGTTCACTCTAAGTGTTCTTCGACTGTGAAATCCACCTGGTTATTTAAACTATTACCATCACACGTTAACAATAAAACATTATTAGAGTTTTAATCTCGTGCTCAAGTTATTTCTAGATTTCTCGAATGCTCAAAATTCAAACAAATTTCGATCTAATTTTTTTCAGGATATCCAGACATATAGATCTGACATGCTCTTTCACAGTCGCGGTTACAGGTATAATAAATTCCAATAATATTATGCTTATCTTCATTTTCAACATTTGCCGAAACGGAAATGTTTTGAACATTTACTGTGTATAAGTATAATATTCATTTGGATTTTGGTTGTTCATATGCATTTTTAAGAATGAATTTGTCATAATGAAATTAAAATTGTAATGTTTTAATTTTGACGCAACAATTTATTTAATTATGTATGACCAGGTGATGGAAGATTAAAACATCTGTAATTATGTTTTATTGTAACGTGTGATGTTAATAGTTCAAATAACTAGGTGGATTTTGCAGGGTCTAACGATACTTAGAGTGTACGATAATTCAACAAACATCGAAATCTAAAAAAAAAATTAGGTAAATTTGGAACGAATACATTGAAGATGAATTTACAGTATTAGGGGTCATGAAGTCTTGCAAAAAATGTAATAAACTGTCTAGGGTCGTATTTAAAAAAAATGAGGATGATGATGGTCCTGGAGACGAAACGTTACATATAAAATTGATTATGGCATTCGATAAGAGAGGAAAAAGTGGCCATGAGAAAGTGTTCTTCTTTTTTCAATATCACCTCGAACAAGGCTGATATGAAACAAAAACGGATTTCCAAAATTTCGGACTTTTTCAAATATTTTGAAAACTAATCATGTTAGCCTCGATTTTTTAGAGGCATAATGTTGATCCCCTGATTATGCAACTTTGCCCACATTTAAGCTACTTCGTATCTCTTACCGTTTCCGAGATCCCTGTTAGTGAGAAGCGAATTTGTAACAGCCTGTATTTGCTATAGATAAAAAAATTATGTGTCAAAACTGCGTAGAATTTTTTCGTGTAAAAAATATCTGTTTAGCTCCATGCACGTTTTGACAAGCTTAGAGTGTAAGGTTTATAAAACAAGCTTTCGCCTGTTATTACCTTTGCTTGCAAGTTTATCGTTATTACTATGTGGGTTTTAAAGCTTACACGATTGTTTCTGAAGTAAGAGGTTTGAGAACTTGTTCTTTTGTTGAAAGATTTCATCGGCAATATATTGGAGTAATTTTTTTTCACGACTGATTCTAATGACGGGGCCCCCAACATGTCCGGGGCCTATTAGGCCTTTGCGTAAAGACAGCCCTGCAACTGAGTATGATGTGCTAATAGTGTTAAATAAAGTGTGCATAAATTAAAATGAAAAGCAACTACGGAATTTCAAAAGTATATTGGAAAAAAAAATGTACATATCTACAGGCAACAGTTTACATTAAAGTATAAAATTGTATATAAGCTTAAAATAAATTTAGTAAAGCCGATAAAATTGAATGTGGTTAAGTTAATATATTCATATAAATTTTTTTCACCACTCTCAATTTTGATTTAAAAGTAAGTATCGAACGTAAAGTCACGACACAGGGAAAAGGTGTGGTAGTTCAGATTTTTTCTTTACAAAATTCTTAGAAAAGTGAATACTTAATTGAGGTAGTTTTGTTCATATGCAAAAGAACATTTTATTGCAAATTTTTTTAGTTAAACCATATTTCACGGCGAACACCCCAATTTTAATACAAGATCTAAGAAAATTGTTATAATAGGCAACTAGTGAACATTGTATAAAGGTAAAATAGAGCAGAACGGTGGCAATGTAATCATTCCAAGCCGCCAGAAGCATCCCTTGCATAATTAAAAAAAAATCACAAAGAATACGTAAAAAAGTAATACAGACCTTTTTTTAACGTTAGGAACATTTCGATCATACTCATCTCAATAAAAGTTAAACGTTAATGAAATTTTTTCAGGCCTCTTGGTAATAATAATGGCGACGATAGTAAATTCTAAAAATATACCAATATAACAGACTCGTAAGCACTTCTAACTATAATTTTTATACATAAATTTTCCTAGTCAACTTTATTATTAATTCAAGTCTACGGTGTGCAATTTTTAAATCCATTATATTGATAATTATTGTCTGGAAAATCAACAGCAAGGAAACGTGGTTAAATAAAGATATTTTTTTCAAACTCAAGAAGACCAATTATATGCAATAAAAAACCTGCTACAGATACTGAAGTTGTATATTTCAGAGCTGTACAGAATAACTACTCTGGAATTTTATTGCACATAATCCGAGTCAAATGAAAATAATTACAATTTTTCGTTTACTAATAGGTTATCCCACTCTATCGCAGTGCTGAATACCTCTTGCTCTAACCATAAGTTGTAGTGTTTTTTAAAGCTTTCAGATAGGTCATGATTTGTCCCCAGCACACTATTTATGCAATTATCCACTGGCTCAAACTCATTATCCTAAAATAGTCGATGCAAACATGTAAATACATCTCACATTATTTAGCCGTCCGTAAAAATGTTGTCTCAAAAGTAACGCAGGATTTGGATGGTGTAGTAAACACGTTGCGGTTAGACAAAATGTAAAAGTTCATTTCAAGTACAGAGAGTGTGTAGCCGAGACTGTGCGCAAATTATGTGGAATTTTCAAATCCTGTGTTACTTTTGCGACGCCCTTTAGGTACTTACGTTAAGTTGAGTGTATCTACGATTATTAAATCTATCGACGGACGCTCTAAGTGCACATTCTTCGGCTTGGAAGTCCCAAGGTCTCGCATCCAAATCTACAAAACAACTACTTTTAGAGTACATCGTGTATTTATAAATAATTAAATACCATTTCCATAAGCCCAATCGTCGTTCAGCCGATGCCTGACTTTTTGATAAATAGCACTTATAGTTTTCATATTGGATTTCCTCCACTGTCGTCCCAAATACTTTGTTTGCATCTTTAACAATTTCAACACGTACAGTTGCGTCATGGCATTCCGAACTTTTAGAGTTCGCTTCAGAATTGGCGCAGATTTGAAAACGACCAGCATCTGAAAGATAAGTAATTAAACTAGCAAGTGGTTATTGAAAAGGATCAGTCACCATAATTCTGGAATGCTTCCATTTGGTTAGTTTGTTTAATATTCGAAGTAAATTAATGCACGAGAACATGTTCCTCCACGAAAAGGCAGCAGAATCTCCTATTTCTAAGGTCTCTGTAGTGAGTTCCGGTTGGTCTCCGATTACGCATGAAGGGAAGTCCAGAATAGGAATCCTAAAACACAAGTTTTCAGTTTGAAAAAAAAGTTTTCCGATACAAAAAATCACTTACACATTTTTAGCTCCAACGTAGGCCATGATGGTTTGATTGAAAAACTTCAAAACCAACGGAATACAATTAGCAAAAACCAAATGCTGCGACATAAATTCAAACTGGTACACGTGATTTAATTTGAAGTGCTTCAACAGCAGCAACAGAATCGCCGACACAGCTTTCACAATGATTTCCTTGTGCCTGTTGACGTCAATTCCTAATTTCATCGATTGCAAAACAGTCATTCTAGAAAAACATGGAATGTGTAAAATATATCTGAACTGAAAGTATGTAAAGAACAAGTTCGTAATGTTGGGGCCCATGTATCTGGTCACCGACAGTTACAAACTCAGAATCTTTGCCTTGATCCTGGGCTAAACTCTGTGGTGGCGAACTCATTATTAGAACCCCTAAACTTGTCCTGATGTTCATTTCGGTTCTTAAGCCACTACGGACGGAACCCCTCCTCAAAATGGTGGTCCCCGAGACGTTCCGTAGTAGCCTCTGTAACTGGTTGCATTCAATGCTTCTAAATGTTTTGCAAATGTTTTGCCGACCGATGAAACATTTGATGCCAGCAGTAAAGAACGGTGAAACATTTGTAAGCATTAATGTGACCAGTTACAGACATCACCGTGGAACGACTTAGAGGATCATCATTGCCTGAGGAATGGCTGTGTCCGTAGTGGCTTTAGAACCAACAAAAACCAAAATGAACAGGACAGTTCGAAGGGATTCCAATAGCGGGTCTACCCCCACAGACCCTAGCCTGAGAACGAGGACAGTTCAAAGATTCGTAGCAAATGCTAAGGTAGTGGACCAGGTACATAGGCCATGACATGACAGCTTGAAAACAAACTGTGCTTTAAACGGATATACTCACGGCATTTCTTCGGGAAGGACGTCTGCCATTATATTTATTGAATCTGTTTTAGCTTTTGAGGTAGGAGCAGCGGCGAGTAATATTTTCAATAAAGCGATCATATACTGAGGCAAATTAGGCAACATTGCTTGATATAAAATCTCAGTAGGCGTCATTTCAATTTCTCCTTCACTTGTAGATATTGGATTTCTTGCTATCTCCTCTTCTTTCTGAATTTGCAGCTCCGCCAATGAGGTGTAAATATGCTAAAAATCGTCACATTTTACACAATATAAAAACTGCGTGAAAATTCACTCACCTCTTTCAACGTTCGAACTCCCTCGTGAATAGGTTCCGGCAGTCCGAACAATGTAGTCCGATCACCTGGTAAACTATACCCTAAAAATTTCAATCTTGCCCCATCTAAAAACAGATCGATATCCTTCTGTCGGACTTTCGGCTTCCAAGGCAACCCTCTAGGAATAATTAAAGTGCTCTGAGAAGGTGGCGACGTAGGCCTGTAACTATCAATATTATTGTGATACATTTGATCACTGTTCTCATTTGCAGGACGGCGTTCATCGAATTCGGAGAGTTCATTTAATTCGTCTCCATTGTCACCTGTTAACGCAGTATCCAATTCCATGCCTACTAGAGATTCATGATCGTCTAAACTACTTTGCTTTATCAAACTCTGAAAATTATATTACTGTAATTATATAGAAAAATTATGGTACAGAACGTAATGATTCTCACATATATGTAATTAATAACTTACTCTCCTGAAAGGTCTTGCGGTTCTTTTCTGGTTCTGCGCTTCAAGAAGATCCGATGCACTAGCTGGAGGAGAAGACGATCGCATCGTCTTGGCTATTTCCATGGTATCCTCATCTTGCGGTGGCAGCCCGGCTTTTTTCCTTTTATCCATTTTCAGTTCCTTCAATTCAGTCATGCCTCCTAGTGAGACTAAAATCAATTTCCACAGCAACAAAAGCACCTTCTTCATGGGAAAATGTGGGGCGGAACCACTGCAAAATCGTGTCACCATACTCAACAGTTTCACTATCAGCAAATCATCACCGCTTGAATTTGCTGAAAGAAATCAAACATTATAACCTAGGACAATAATGTGCCTTTCCCTCATAAAAAGTAACTTACCAATTTCATGGCAAAAACCATTAACATTGCTCTCGTATTCACTAGACTCCGAGTACTTTTCGTTTCGTATGACTTCTGTAATTGTGTACAAAACGGACAGAATTACTCTTAAATCTTGTGAATCTGCCAATGAGACAGCTATTTTCCTCATTGCAACGTGGGCAGCAGTACTGTTCCTAAAAATTAGTTCAATACATTTATAACGATTCTTAGTACCTTAGACATCTTCATTTTATTTTGTTTGTTATAATGATTAAAAAATCTTACTCAAATTCAATGTTGAGAAGATCGGTAAACGCATTGAACACGCCTAACTGATACAACAACATGGAATTATTCCTTGCCCATTCCTGTTGTTCAGTATCGGACTGCATTTCAGCCCAGCAACCTTGAGCAATATATAAAATGCACCTTGCACTTCTCATTCTCAGAGGTTTACTGCTGACTTCTAACTGATCAAGAAGTTTCATGACTACCGATTTTCTCTTATTAATTGACAACCTTTGCCAGCTGGGTGGCAAGTTGTACAACTCCATTTGGTCTTCAAATGCCTTGACATTGAGCTGCAGCTCGGGCTGTTCGGTGTAGCTGTACAACTCGGTGATTTCATTGATGTGAGAATCGGTATCGTCATAGACGAAATCAAGATCTGGGGAATCAGTTCCTCCTCCCTTAAAGAATGATTAAGTATGTCTCTAAAGCAGTTGTTTCACATAGCAGTCAACTGCGATCACAACAACTGTTTGATGGGTGTGGTTACAGTGTCATGTGAATATCAATGTGAAATACTCCAATGTGATCCCAGTAGAGTACCACCACATTGCTGTTATAACTAGAAATATTTCTACTATTTATACAGAGAAAGTAGACAAGAATGGCGAGATCTGCAAAATCTGTGAATGCGTCAATAAATTATTTGCTCGGTCAAAGCATGGTCTGTTCAATAAAGATGTTTTCACCCAAAACTTTTTCTTCTTGTACTGTCATCTTGACATTAACTTTTTTTTTAATTAATAGGCATCTGTTAGAGCAATTTAATACTATGCTTTTATGCAAAGATTCAAACACCGTATATCAGTGGAAGCATCGCCCATCAAACAATTCAGTTATAACAGTCTACTAGTATGTGACGCCCTTTCTTAATAGTTCAATTATAGTGAATAAATTTTCTTTATCCAACTAACGATCATTTTACATAATTATACACATATGCACACAAAGTTGACGAGGAAGCGTGTTTAAACAAAAACTATTTTTGAACGATTAAAAATAACAGCACCCAAAGCTATTGTTTCATAATGTGTGCATTTATGTATTTAAAAGCTAATAATTGGCAATTGTTAATTGTAGTATAAGCTAATTAGTAATTGTAAAGTTGAAATTTTTCCAGTATATATGTTAGAGTAGTTTTAAGAACATGATACTGTTCCAAGTTAAAACAGCCTCTACATTGTATGTCTACAACGTATGTATGTCTTTGCCTTGAAAACAAAAGGATGATTAAAATTTTGACAGATCTATTTAGGTTTTTAAATTTTAAACAATTCAAATCAACTTTACAACGTAAAATTTACATACTTATACATTAGAGAAAGTATAACTATATATAAAATAATGTGTATAGCTTACGGGAAGCATTATTTTCAAAACAATTAAGATTTCTTACATCCGAATCTTGGCGTTGACGTCTAATGATTTCCTTAAACCTGTGCAAACCTCTCTTTCCATTTCCGTTCGGATCCATTCTGAATAAACCAGCATATTTAAATCTTCATAACGCCTAATAAAACTTAAACCGGCCACTAGGACAAAATCACAAAATAATTCATTTCCTCTTCACCATTCCTATTATTCATTAAAGGTAGGGGGATATTGACCCGGACAGACAGCGCCACCTAGTATCTCTAAGCATATCTCAATACGTAAAAGCGCCAAATCCTTATTGTTCAAACGAGAGATTACACGAAATGCGTACTCGGAACACAAAAAATATGTAAAGTAGATTTTGTGATTAGGTCGAAAAAAAACTGATATCGTTTGAAGTTACTTATTTGTTGTGGCATAATTATTTTCTCTGTTTATCGAGTATTTTGCCCATGAAAAACAAAAACCCTAGCGCCAAAAGGATGTCCAAGGTTTTTTTGAAAATATCTGTGCTTAATCACAAATCAATAATGACGTTTTGAAAATCAAACTTTTTTCTTCTGAAGTGAAGACTTTTTGTTTTGAATTATTTTTAAAATACTCCACTTTAAATGTTACCTTCTTTATTTAAACAATGAATATAAAAATACTTTAATTGCATTAAACTGCATCAATTACAGAAGTATAATTTCATGGTTACCATAATTAGATTTTAAACGTTTTCACCGATTTTTGTTAAAATTATTAAAGCAATAAACTGAGTTAAGCAGTGAGTAAAAATGACTGCAATTTTGCAATACAAATGTCAAATTAATTAATTATTTTATTATGAAGAACCGAAACAAGTTTCAATAAAAAAAAAACATTTTTTTATAATAATTTATTAGATGACATGTAGTCTACACTGTTTGGCAACAAATTAATGGAACAGTATGATACAAAATATGAATATTTACAAATTAAACGTTTTATAATTAAACCCATCACCGATAGAGAATGACAATTAAAATATAAATACGAATTTACAAAATAAAATGCCGTCATCAAAAAATGACAAAAAAAGTTAATGGAATGAAATAAAACTAAGGACACTTCTAAAATATAACAATACTATACAGTAACAGGGTTAAAATTGTGTTTTATATACAAAATAATTTTTAACAAACAGGATACATTCCTACAAAATTAGTGTATTTTAATAGTGCAGACCTAACACTCAAAAATAGGCCATAAGCTTAGTTACCCTATTTTTTTAACAACGTCAAGGCTACAATTTTTTTTAACAATTATTGTACTACTACTTGAACAACAAGTTACTAGGTTTATATGAATCCAAAAGATAATAAAAATACTATTGTCATATATAATATAAATTGTGTATATAGTAGGTTTATCGTTTCTCTAAATCTCGTGGACAAAAATTCGTTTCAGTTGACATTAAAGCTACGTGAAACGTTTAGTGCAGTTACGTCATCCTTTTCGAAGTACACGTATAAAGGTAGTTCAAAATTTTTTAGAAATACTGAGTTCATCGAAAAATTATGTAGAATAATGATTGTACCAAATGACAACGGGAAGATGGAGGTCCAAGGGACATAGAAGAAATCATAGGCAGTTAGGCCTACAGTAGAAAACCTGATTAAGACAGAACTCCGGATGACATAACAAATAGATGCTTAGTTATCACAAGAGCACATCATCAATGAGTATAGATCTTATCAGGTGTAATACTGAGCTATTTAGGGAAGGCTTAGCTAATATTTGACAACAAAATGCTTAACGCTTATAATGCTAACCATTTAGTTAACTTCCTAAATTAAATCAGTTACCACAAAAAATTTAAATTTACTAGAAAGAGGCAAATGAAGGGAAATAGTTGTAATTTCAAATAACCTGCGACACATTTATTATTACCATAATTTTTCAACAAATCAATTAAATTCCATTTATACACCAATATCAATAGAAGTTAGTTATATTTTCCTCATTCTAGTAAATTCTCATCCAAAAATTTTGGCATTTTTGGTCTATTATAATTCTTTCGAGTTAAGCATATAAGCCATTAAGCTAAGTTATCATTGTTTATTAGCATGTTATTCTGCGTTTATAGTAATAGTTTTGCCTTTAGCATCATCAAATCTGTCCATAGTTCTAATATCCATCATCATGGTGATACCCAAGGTCATGATGAGTAAGAGAATGGCCGAAACGAAAATTCCAGACCAAATCGGGACTGAAGTAAAGCCAACACAGTCATATGCATCTGAAAATTTGGTTTCGTTGGCAGATGTACCATCGAAGAATAACTGAACCTGTGAGGAAGGGATTATTTTAATAAAAAAATCAAAAAAAAACAAATTAATAAAACTTAAATATTTCATAAAAATAAATAAATAAATAAAAATTTGTACCTGGAAGGAGCCGAAATAAAGTTTGAAATTGTTGTTTTCAGTCGAAAAGCTTTGGTCCCCACAGTGGTATGAGAATGTAGTTGGAGCATAGATATCAGAGAGAGATGAATTAAGGTTATAATCTGTATTATTATACGTTACAGTAACATTTTTTAATACCCAGTAACCGTCGCTAGTATTTGTCGAAAATTCCATCCTTAAAAAATTTACATAAAAGAATGTGCCAATTTAAATATTTGAAATGTTATATAATGTCTCTATGAAAAGTGCAAGAATACTTACTCAACTTGTAACACGGATGAAGTTCCAGTCAAAACAATGTCGGTATTTTGCAGTGCATCAGTGAAGTCTAAAGAAACTTCAGTGTTACTTGCACCATTGTTAAGGTTATACGATACATCTGTGTAATATAGAATGGAGTAATTACTTTTGTAATAAGTGCCATTTTCAGTAGTTGCCAGTAACGATCTGATTTTCCTTGAACTGATGACATCTTCAGGTGCAACCTGTACATAATTTTGTTAAAAAACGTAAAATACATAAATAAAATAAAACTTACCCAGGACGTATGATGAGCTGTGTACAAAGCCAAAACATTGTCATACTTCTTAGCAATTTTGTTATAGATAGATATTATTGTAGAATCTGGAAATTTAAGTTTATATGTAAGAATTATATTTCATTATTTTATTAATATTACCATGACGTTTCAACATTTCTAGTCTGTGTTCATCATCTTTAGCATCGTTTAGATTAACAATGAGGATATTCGTTGCAGGAAAATCAAAGTTTTCTTTTAAGTCTGATATCGACACCTCAGCCACTTCTTCGCCTAAATGTTTCAAAGCTTTGATTGGATTTTGGACGTAAGGTAGATACGAAACTTTAGAGTTCCTTTTATGTTTTTCAAGGTAAGGAAAAACTGTGGCACCTGACTGATCATGTTGAGCAAAATCTTCAGGACTTAACTGAAAAAAATCATGTGAGTCTATGGTAAAAAATTATTTAAAAAACTCACTGTTTGTTCTGCAAACACTATCACAAATGGGTTCTCTTTCAAATGCTCCAGAACATCATCTTTAAATGAGTCTTGGCTTATTTTGTGCAAGGCCGGAACTTTTTCGTTTGTTCTGTAATCAATCATATGACTAGGGTTAGATAAACAATATCTGTGTTTTTTAAATCAAATATAATAAAAATATATTTTTTAGTAAGGCATGCATATAATATACATTTTTACTAGCAAATACTGATGTTTTATCTTGTGTATAGTCCTTAAGGTGTGGCAAGTTAAAAAATCCGAAAATTTAAAACAAAAATGCTCCTTACTTGCTAGTAGACCACATAAAAACTGGAACAAATTCTGTACATTGCACTAAACTAATAGTTAATACTACACTTAAGAAAACTAATATACTTTTGCACACACTCATTTTGTAGGAAGGTTTGAAACTGCAACTTTTTCTGTGTAAAATCACACGAACTTTATAAGATCACGTGAAATTACAGTACAAGGCAACGAGCATTTGACAGTCAGGTGTAGAAGACGACGTCAATTTAATGAACTCTGGCATATGGAACGGAACAATAGATTATGATATCAAGGAGTTACAGTTCAATGGGATAGAAATAGATAACATTTTCCATCTTTTAGTCAAAGCAGAAACTACATTTAATAGATCTCTGTTATTAGCTTAATTCACTATATATCATAACAATTATGGAAAATATAAATAAAAGTGATTCTTTACTTTACTGAAATTTACTAAAACAATGTTAGCTCTTGTGCATACGTTTTTTAATGAATCAGAAAAATATGGAAATAAAAAAAGATAGATATAGTTCTAGCTTGACTAATCTATAATGATTATTGGATTGGATATGACGAAATGGTAGGACCTCTACCGGAGGCTTCTATAATTAAACAGTATAATGACGAGTTCTTCAATTTCAATATTTGAAAAGTTGAAAATAAGTGCTTTGTGAAGTGATATTTGATTGTGTGTTTAAATTTAGTTCAAATTATTTTAAATAGCTTTTGAAGGCAATCGGAACAAAATACAGCATATTTGTAAGTGTTTATTGACATTTATTATTTAGTATAGTCTTTCAAGATATCTACAAAAAATGTACATAGGATTTATAATACAATTTTAATAATATAATAATAAGTACAAACAACAGAAATAGAAATGTATATTACAATAATTATAAAGTTTACATATTCATATAATAACATTAAACAAAATGTGGTATTGATATTAATTAATAATTCAATTGGGGACCACAGTCAACAACAAGGTTTGCGATACACCACCATTAACTTATTTTATTTAGTAAATTTCGCCAAGTGCCCTAATGTACTACCTTATTAAAAGGTTTAAATGATGTTTTCACACAATTATTTTGATATTCGCAATGCGTTATTATAAAATTTATATCGATTTATTTGACTAACAGATAGACAAAATGGCGAAATTTTTTACAGATACTGTTGTATGAATATATGCCGTTTATTTTAGCTAAGCTATATTTATTAGTTATAGTGCATGTATTACAATAAGTACGGTGCGTGAACATATTTAAAGTTTAAAATAGTAATTTCTTCCCTCACATGCAAAACTAATAAAGATTCTCATACTTTGTACACTTTTGCCCTACTGCAAGATAAATATTTTTTCTATCTATTACATCCAATTGATTAATAAAATAAGATAAAATAAGTTTAGTATCCATCGCAGGGAATTGAAGAGTATATTCATTTAAAACTTTTGCATTGGGGAATAATATATGTTCATGGTATTTAGAACATTCACCACATATTCTAAAAATCACATTACATAAAAATACGTCGAAGATCCGTAGGAGAAGTGATCATACTGCACTGAGGACACACTTTTTTGCTACCCTGTAAAAAAACAGAAATACAATTGTCTCTTATTAAAATAGAGAATTATTTTATGTCTTATAAAACATTTATTTCAAATAATTAGGTCAAGTCCATACCAGAAACAAAAATTCACTTACCAGAGTATGCAGCCAACATTCCTCACAGTGTACATGCCAGCAAACAGTGGAAATTACTGGTTTCTTATAATGTTCCTGCAAAATAATGTTTTCTTACACTCCAATTCCAATCACTTATTTGGTCGGCAATAAATCTTACCAAACAAATTAAACATTTATATTCCTCGGTTTCTGTGGTGCTGGCGGCCTCGCCACCTCCCTCTGCCTCGAGCTGTCTGATTCTATTTCTTAACTCTTCGATCATTTGGGCTCTACTGCTGGGTTCTGCGTCTGATGTGCTGACGTTGCTGTCGCACTGCTGACCCGCACTTTCAACCTTCACCTCAACGTCGCCACTAGAGTTGACAGTAGCTACCTGAAAGTACTAAGAATTGTACATAGTGTTCCAATGAATGCGGCGAAGCATATCAGTTTTTATTAGTATTTTTTTTCCTAACTAATTTTGAGGATGAAAACAATTCTTTCTAGATTACACAATTTAACAAAAACATATTGTACCTGTGACTGAACACCATCTTTTTCTTTGCCTTCCTTCATTACTACATCTGACTCAGTATATTGGGAAGGACCAAAGGTACTATCTTCCGGTTCGTCGCCGTCGACGATAACATCGTCACCTTCGTTGTCGACATCAGTGGTTCGCCCCGTACTACTTGCTATAGTTAAACCAGCTACCAACGAATTCCTTCGACGTCTCTGACTCTCGTGCCATTCTTCTAATTCTGAATCACCTTCAACATCCACCGTTTCATCTTCCTCATTCATTACGTTCTGCAACAGATTATTTTCAATTAAAAAGTGCGTTGACATAACACAATTATACTAACCTTCCTGACGCATCTTTCTACATGCATATTTATTTCTTCCTGTGTCCTATGAGGATGACCGGTACAAATAGGGCAACAATCATCTGCTTTCCTCTTTCGTATTTTAAGTCTTAGTCGGCCCTGTCTGTTAGTTTTGATTCGTTGAAATGTCTACAACACAAAGAAAGTTTGTCAATGTTAAATTATATTCAGATCAGACATTCTTTGCTATGCATAAAGTTGAAATAGTTCACTATAATTCACTTACTTCCCACCGTCCTTCGGGGCCACTGTCACCAGGAAGAGCAGGCGGTCTACCTGGTTCAGGTCTATTCCTTTTTCTCGTTGCTGCAACACCTGTGCCACTTAATTTATACAGTCTATCCAGTTCGTGCATAAAGTGCGTCTCTAGGTCTCCTGATGATATTGTTAGTCCACATACAGGGCAGCTAGACGGATCCCTCTTTTTCTTATTAGATACAAAATCTGCAATCACGAAACCATTGAAAAAGCAGGTTTGCGCTGGATTACTCACTATTCAATGAAATCTTTGCGTTTATATCAGACCATCAGATTATTATTACTCTATACAGGGTGTAACTTTCAGTGGGGGTAAGTTTTTTAGGGGTAATAGTCTGCATTCTCCATAATTCCATTCTGAAATTATAATTTTTTAAACAAATAACAAAGGCCGACAAAAAAAACTTTTTTGTTTAGTTTCTAGACCTACCATTTTCTACAGATTTTGTGGCTGACTATTGAAGTGGTAAAAACTTGGTAGTACCCTGCGATTACAAAAAATCTAAACGATGACAATTTTTTTACTCTTCAAATTTGGTTTCAGCTCATAAAATCCATAAGAAGTGATAGGTCTGAATCTAAAAACCAAAACAATGGAAGTGTATAACCTTATAAAGTTATTTATTTCAGTGTTAGGGAGGATACGATGCGTTTGCGTGTCTTCATTGTTATACTTTTGTGTGATATTACGAAAAAAACATATGCTTATAAGAATTAACAATGATGATATTTGATAAAAATGCATGCCATAACTCCCAAGTGGGTATGCGCTCCCGTCTAGCGCAGGCGGTTGTATGGCATTGCACTAGTCTGTCCAGCCGCAAAGTATAAAAATAAAAAAAAGATTTTGAATGAAAATTCAGTTTTTATGCGGAATTTGAGACAACATATGTTTCTAAAGGTCAGTCGATATAAATATGACGCCTATTCAAAGTTACACCCTGTATAGGGAATTAATTAACTTGTTACGTGCCAGATATAAATACCGAAAAGAAGAACGCAGAGCTCAGTTTTTATACAATGCAATGCATAATCTTGTACACTTCTGTCAGTTTAAATATTAATTTTATTGACATTAATTTACAACCGAGGTGACAACTCTGATATGTTAATATGCCCAATTTAAGAAGGTACATACTACTTAATTTAGTTAATTCTACGAAAGTAACTGTCATTCGATTGATTAAAGAATTTTATCCAGAATATTTCTTTTATTACTTATCGAAATGTATAGGGAGGATTAATTTACATTCCAATTGTTGAGAAATGTACGCGTACAAAGTCGATCACAATTATCATATTGTAAACGCGGTTCGATAAAATGCGCATGTGATTTTCGCATCCGATAAAGCAAAAGGAAAAAGTAGGTAAATCCGGCGCATCCGAAAGAGAGTGTATTTTTAGTAGCGTGAAAACATAAATTTCCTTAATTTTCTCGTCATACTGTATCCTGAGCTGGGCTCGAGTGCGATACGGCGATCCGTCAGACGCGGACATCATTCATGGGATTAGCCAGGCTAACCTTGTTAATTGCTCGACTAGACCCATGCCCGTGTGTACCCCAAACGTAAATCAGCACCGGCTAAAAGGGGATGAAGTGAGCTTAAGTCATCACGACGCGTTGAAATTTACACCGGGGATCGGAAAATATGCCGGTGTCTTAACAGATCAGGTTCTGAACTCGAATAATGGGTCCGATGCATGCATAATACACAGGTCGTTTCATTTCGGATGTAGGCGTTGATGCTTACAGTTTACACACAATAAAAAGACAAATCTTGTCAGTGAAGATATCTCCCAAGTAAAATGTTAACTGAGTTACATCCTCAATTATTTTTCACACTAAAAAAGTTGTCTTGTCACATCACAGGAATTTCCTAACCTCAAAAAACAGGTCTAAAATAGTAAAAATTCACGAAAAAGTGCTAGGAAAAATACAAAAATATATTTTTTTATATTCAAATGATCATTTATGTGGTTAAGACCCCGCCGAACGTGAATCCACGGTCAGAATTGATGGTTCTTTTTCTAACCTCAAAAAAACGGGTCAACTAAGGTCAGATATCACGAATTTTCAAAAAATAACAGATTCGCGCCAAATTTGGTATACGGGGAGGTTTTCGGGGTCGCTGATCACGGATCCGAGGTCAGTTTTGGAAAATTCAAGATGGAGGATCCAAGATGGCCGATCAAAATGTCAAAAAATAACAGATTCCCGCCAAATTTGGTATACGGGGGTTTTAGGGGTCGCTGATCACGGATTCGAAGTTAAAACCGAATCATTAAAATTTTCAATCTCTGAAGAACGTAAATGATCCTTATCATCGGTTTTTCAAACATTAAACATTAATCTTCATGTTAAGAGATCATTACTGCAAAAACATCTTGTCCCATGTCGATAATAGTTTCCAAAAAAAATTACTAATTTTTTATGATAAGGGATAAGAAGGATTACTTTGCTCAATTAATGGTGCATAATCATTTATTTTTTATTTTTTTATTATTAAATATAACAATTCAGTCATGTGACAACGGGTGTAGACTAAAACATTATCGTCTTTAGTTCGGCGTGACGGTCTTAACTTTTTTCAACCAGTTTACTCTCGAACGCTAGAAACTCTGGCCCGCAGGTGCCGTATGCGGGCTCCATTGACGTTCCAAACAAATCCGCCAATCTGCCCCCTGTGACTATTAACATGACAAATGCTAATATATTTCACGGCTTTCAACGGATAAAACAGATCTAAACTGATATATTTTTGTATCTTAGTTTTCTCCTTTGTTTGTCTTTCTTTTCACTTAAGCGCTACTCCATTATTTATTCCCGCTCAATTTACACTCCACGCGAAAGAATTGCCCGAGATAGAATTTTTGGTCAAGGCATTCACATCAATGCACAAGTTTCAATTTCTTTTCCAAAATATTTATATTATTTATATTAAAATTTTGACATCTTTATCTTTAACCATTTTAAAAATAATCAAGTAGAACACAGTAACAACGTTAACACCCTGTATCTCTGAAACAGAACATTAGTAATAAAACGTTTTATGAAATACCTACACTATTTTTCAAGAGGAACGCACTCGCCGAGTTTTTTTATGTATAAACTTTACACTCTGTATGTTTATAACAAAAATTGAAAGAAACATACCTACTAAAACTTTTCAAATGAAACAGGCCATGGCGACTGAAAATAGCGTAAACTTTTAAATTACAAAAAATGCCTAGTTTCCTCAACTGCGTAGGAGTAAATCGGGAAATAATGACTGTATACCGACCAACCCGCTGACCACTATAGTGTTCAAACTTTGTTAATATCTTGTTGTTTTGCTGGGACAAGCTTAGTCGTGATATGAAAACAGATCAACCGCATGTAGCAGCCGCAAGATAATCTTTAATACAACTTTCCTCTTCATCTGCGCTAGTTATTAGTTTTGTAAAAAGACGTGAAAACTTGGTTGTCACGTTAACACATGGATTCGGATGTACAACAAAAACAGTTTATTGTAAAACTGTGTCTGGTAGATATCATCATATTTTTGTAACAATACCTCGAAAGGGCCAACATTAAGATATACGTTTTACTGGCAGTTAATCAGAAATTAATATCTTTATTTTGCATTGTCATAAAATTATTTACAATACAATAAAATTGACGACAACATTTGTTCACGTTACGTTTTACATAGTTATTTAGTCTCTTTTCTTTCACGGTTGTATAATACCGTATAATAATTTAAGTAATTACAATGAAAAAAGTTATGACCCATCCATCCAGCGCTAAAGAAGCCAGAACGCACTTAAAGTATATTTATCGTTTACTTAATTAAGTAACTGTCATAGTTTGGCTAGATTTCAATAATAAATTCGTCGTAAGGTTTAATACTTACCAGAAACATCGTAATAAATTTTAAATTCTATGATTTAGCATCCAGTAGAATTACATATTCAATTAAATTTTATCTTAGAAAACACACGGGGAATTTTAATAGCTTTGCCAATAAGATTTTTGCAGTTTTTCTAGTTAAATTATCAAATATATTAAGACAAGACCGAGTTTTCTTCATTCTGGTAAAACAAGCTGTAAGGATTATGTCCTTGTTGCATACTTTTCTTTTGTTCAACCGTTGCTATAGTCTGTTATTAACTGCATTCCTAGTTAATGTTTTCTGAATCTAGTTAATAGTGGTGTTGCCTATCCCACATGCTTTTCTTCGGCTTTTGTTTTTATATGGCTATCTTGTTAAACTAAATTTCACCAAGATTTTATTCAATCTGAACTAATTAAAGAGCTATTGCACTTTTTATAATAGTAAGCGTATTAGCTCATACTGTAAACAATGGAGTAGTTTCCTACAACTACAAAGAAAATGGAAACTTTATTTTAAATTGATATTTTATTTAACGGATATGACGCTGCCAAGAAAAAAGTAGGAAAATCACTAAATATCTGTTGGCGTGCTGATATGGGGTGTCACAACAGTTAGAGATTTCTGGACTGATTTTTTAGGTAGGAATCTAATGGTTCCACGTCTTTCGCTAGAGGTCGTAACGATCTCTTCAACGACTGAAGGAATTGCCGGATTGGGCGATTATTTGAAAATTTTTATGAATTTTATGAGTTATTTTGGAGTTGTTTATAAAAACGCGAAAGATTAAATGAGATCAAAATGAAAAATAATGTTAGTAAAATTGTTTAACACTTACGGACACAAATGTGCCTTAAATTTTGGCTTCCGCTCTGTTAGTGGCACTAAATTCTGAAGTTCGCTGATAATTCAAATAAAGTTATTCATACCCTACGAGCCGCATAGGTCTTAACGGCCACAGTCGGAGCTTGCATGAGAATTAGAACAATCGATACGTATTTGAAAGTGTAAATCGGGGTAGGGAATTACAGGTAGGAGTTAAAAAGGATCACGAAGGGACGTGAGGGAATAAACGCGAGCGTGCCGATTTGGTAATACGGAATTTAGATATTAGGAATATATCTATGACATTTTAAACATCTCTCCGACTTCTCTTGTGCCGCCATATTACATAACGCGATGATTAACGGACATCTATGTAAAACAATTTCTGGAGTGACAAATTCGGTCGATGTGATATCATTCTGATACGGTCGGACCATATGTCGCAATTTTCTAACTGTCACGGTGCTTTTTACCAGTCAGATTAAAGCA